TTCTGTGGCTCCTAATCCTTTTTTTTCTCTACTGAAACAATTGTTTTGTAATAAAACTTTTGTCATAAATGAATCAACAGTTCATTAAAAAATGAATAAATAGCCCAAGCTTTCTTAGGATGATAGCTAGTTGTATAAATGAGTTAATATCTATAAATCCCTGTACCTGACATATAGAGTACATTATCTGGGTTAGATAAATAATAAAATTAACAGGGTATATTGTAGAGGAGCAGACTGTATTACTGTCCCATTTTTCAGATGAAGTGATAAAAACCTCAGTGAGGTTTATTACTAGCCCAAATAGTGAGAGGCCATGATTCAAATCCATATTGCCTGACCCCAAAGCCCTGTGTCCTTGCATGGGCTGCACCAAGGTGTCCCTGGGGAAGCTGGGAGGAAGCAGGCTGAAGGTCGTCATTGCTTTGCTCACAATGACCCTGAATCTTGGTCGGAGTGATCCACCAGAGAAAGGAAGTTCACCAAAGAAAGTCCTGGGGCCAAGTCAGAGGTCAGTTACAAGACTGGTCTGAAATTCGCTGAAGTGTAAGAGACCTGAAAGCCTGTGGGAAGAAGAGAAGCAAACTTGGGGCTTGTGGAACAAAAAAGGAGATTTGATGCAAAAGAGAGAACCTGGTGAGGCCCTGGTTGTCGCTGAGGAACTGGAATTAAGTGAGAACAGAGGTGGTGAGTTGGGGTGGTGAGTGCTCCCAGCTGTCCAGCAGCTGAAGCCCTCGAGGGCCAGGCCTGCTTGCAGAAGATACTTGATAACATATTCTTCACAGAGGATGAGGGAAGACACAACCCTACATGTCAGAGGTACAGGAGAGGTACCTTACTCCCCCTACAGTGCAGCACACAGGAATGAAAGGACGGGGGAGAAGGAAATCAGATAGGATATGTTTCAGAAAGAAACGAAAAAGGTTGGACCCTGAATCACGCACCATCAGCGCTTGTTTAGAAAGATGTGCTCTCATACTTCTCTAAATTTTCTAAAATTTCTAGGCAGAACATGTTCTCATTTTATAGTAGAAAAAGAGTAACTGTCTTAAAGTGCTCTATTTTAAAGAGAGCACTTTGTAGGTCACACGCTCTGATGGGAACTCAAACTACATCAGCCAAGAACTAACAGAGGTCAGAGGGAATGGGCAAAACATGTGCAGCATCAGGATAAATAAGAGCAGCAGTAAAGAGCCCACGGCATTTTAGTAAGGTGACTGTATCTGTTATGCTGAGAGCTTTCATTAGGAGAAGTAGGATATTAAATGGAATGATGAAGGAGAGAAGCAGCTAAATGAATATTTTGAATCAGTATTTATTGGAGAAGACAATGGGGAAATTCCTGTTCCAAGGACACATTTTATGGCAAAGCAGAGAACGGCCTTGACAGAGATTCTTCGGTCTCTGAGGAGAAAGGTAGGAGCAACTTGAGGGACTCTGTGCAGTAAATCACCAGGACCAGATGGTATTCATCCATGGGTTCTGAATGAGATAAAGTGGGAAATCATGAGTTCAGTGACAAGGATATATAATAGATGCTTAAAAACAGCCACTATCCCTGAAGATTGTGAAGCCATTAATATGGCATCACATATGTGTGATGTGATGTGATGTGATGTGATGTGTGTGTGTGTGTGTGTGTTCCTTGCATGTTTTCAGGCCTTTAGGGGAACAGGATATGGGAGATTTTCTTTTTCTTAAGAACCATGAATGATTCTTTGAAGAAACAAAGAACGGAGAAGCTTTAGGTGGTGGGAAGAGTATCAAAAGCTAAGAGACCAAATATTAGAGACATTTAATAACATTTAGGCAGCTAAGCAGTTATTTTCCAGGTACTCTGGGAGATGCTGGGGATTTAAAGATGAATAAACACGCCCTTTGTCTAAAGGGAAGGCTTACAGCCTAATGACTCAGTTATTTTCACGGTCCTGCTATTGGTTTTGGATGGCAATTAGCAATGTAGCATTTTCCAACACTACCGGAGGATACAAGAAACATCTGGTCATTTTTTTCTCCGTTGCAAAATTGTAAAGTTTCAGGTTATTTGGCAAAATCTGGAGGACTGAAAAGCAAGGATAGATATTCACCTCTATCTCATAGGAGCTGATTTCTAGATTCTAAGAATTATCTAATAATAATAACAATAACCGAGTGGCTAATATTTATTGAGTGCTTACTAGGTGCCAAGTTCTTGCTCAGTTCTTTACCTATATCATCTCATGTAATTGTCATAATAGTTAGTAAGTGGTAGACCTAGAATTTCAATCTTTGTAGTCCAATTCCAAAGTTCAGCTTATAGCCATTTCTCTATACTGTCTCTCTCTCTATGTTTTATTTATAAAAGGGAATCAAAAGTTTCACAAAGCAACTCCTGCTCTTTTTACATGTGATTCTCTTCTCTTTCATTAAAAGGATGATGGTCCCAAATCCCCAAACTGATTTCATAGCCAATAATGGGTCATAGCCTATAGTTTGTTTTATAGAAATAGGAGTAAATAAGTAAATAGCCACATTTTCTTTGACTTTGAGGAATTCTAAAGCTAAATGAAAGTTCTGGTATTAAAATGTCATACAGTGATAAATGTGACTCAAGACCACTATAAATTATCTTGGACCATGTAAATCAAAAAATAAAGAAAATAAAGAAAAAATATCATGCCTTCAATTAAAAAAAATTAACAAAGAATTGCAGGCAAAGATGGAGGAATTAGCCTTAGTGACAAAGTAGAGAAACATGTTCTTGGTTGACAGAAAAAAATGAGAGAGAAGGGGGGTCTAGGGAGAAAAAAAATGTAAAGGAACTTGAAAGTGAAGAGGAGAAAAACAAAAATTCTAAAATTCACAAGGGCACTTTCACATTTCCTGAAGTGCTTATCACAATAAATTATATATAGTAGAAACTCAAAAATAAAATAAAATAAACTTGTACTATTTTAAGATGCTTTTAGCATGGGGGAGGGATGTTTCGTCTACTCATTCTCTCATGTTTTTCCTTAAGTTCATGTTGAATCAAATCCCTTAGAAGCTTTCATTGGGTACAGCCTCAGAAGTTAAAAAGTTATTCCTTACATTGATCTGAAATCTGACCCCCTGAAATTACTCACTGATTCTAGTTCCCTTGGAAACACACAAGAATATTCAAGAAATTCTCCTACCCAGTATCCTTCACATATTTGGAAGGCATTCATGTTCTTCCTGGATATTTTCCTCTTCAGAATAATCATTTCTAGATTTTTCAACCATGTGTGAATAAAGACAGAAAATCCAATCCAAACTGGTCTAAACAAAAAAGGGGCTTCATCCACTCACATAGCAGAAAAAGCCAAGGATTGTTCCAGCTCCTGGCATGGCCTGATCTGGGGCCAAAGTAATGTCACCAGAATAGACTTTTGGTCTCTCCCAGCATTGCCCTCCTCCGTGTTGGTTCCAGTCCCCCTTGTAATGTGGCTGAAACAGCCCCAGACCTTATATCTTCTCATGAATGATGTCCAGAAGAAAAGTAAATTTCTTTCCCAGAAGTTTCAACAAAACTTCTCTTTCATCATATTGACTCTGATTGGGCCATGTACTCAAACTTCCAGCTATTACTGTAGTCAGTGGCAGTAAGTGCTTTGATCAGCCAAGCTTAAGTCACATGCCTACCTCTGGAGACATGGACTGAGAGGCTGGGGGTGGTCTTCAACAGGGAGACTTCACGGGTTGAGGATTTGTTAACTAGCAGCTGGGTAATAAAAAGGCTATTGCTGTCCATTGGATGCTGTTGCTCACATTTCATCCTTCCAAACCACTTCATCAAAGTGGCCTATCAAACAGCAAAGTGAAACCTATCACTTAGCCTTGGAACTTCTCACATGTTGTGGGAAGAGGAACTGGAGCTGGGCCTGAATGCCCCAGTTATGTCTACTCATACACCAAGGGGATGCCCCAGTGGAATAGTAACTCCTTATTCCTCCACCGTCACCTCATCTGTTTAGCTTGCGCTGTTATCTTTCAGGCAGAATTAGTCACTCCTTTTACAGAGCTCCTACTGGCACTTCCACTACATTGCAGTTACTCGTGTTGCAGGCTTATGTTCCTCTTGACTGTGAGTTCCCTGAAGATAGGGATTTTTTATATTTTTCTGTAATCCTCGCACCTGGAATAATGCCTGACAAAGGAGATATACAATGCTATTTGCATGAATTACCCTGAGAGCATGGAAGAGGACACCCCACACAACTCTATGAGCATGAGATCAACCCACATCTTTCTCTGTCTGTGTGGGTCTCAGTATCCATGTTCATAAAATCACTGAAAAAAATGCTTCAGATTCCCTGACACATCAGGGCATGGATGGGAACAAAGCAAATCTGAGCGTTAAGCATAGACAGTCCAGGAAGGCAGAGAATTGTCAGACAGACAGACTACGGACTGCAGACAACGATTACAGATTTAGAGAGCCTAAGTCCACAAATGTCAGAAATGTTAGAGACTGCCGTCAGTGAGAACTCAATCACATACGGAATGGGTAGGAACTGAGCTAACAACTGATTCTGTCTACTCTGCTTCTTTTTAAACTGCAAGGGGTGCCAGGAAAGGAAAGTAGGGTACAGATGAGTCTGGAGAAAACTGTCCGTGACTACAGCCGATGCAAGACCTTGTTTCCTTCCCTCATTTGAGGTGGGAAAAGAGACTCAACAGTACGTATTTACTAAGTGC